AAACCTTTGATAACAGCAAGGGAGGCCAAATGTTTTTGTACCTATCATTCTGTCCAGTTTATGACATTATAAAGTTGATGATGTTTTTGTTCTTTGTTGCTCTGAAATGGGAAAAATGTATGACAAAAACCTATTTTCAGAAGATTCTTTAAGAATCAAGAATAACTGAAACAGAACCCTTCTGACAACATGTTGGGAAACGTTACCTCCCACCCCTAATCTAAGGGAAACTAGAAACACAAAAATATAAAGCTTAGGAGGCTACAGTTACATTCCTTGAACATGTTCATTACATTTTTTTATTTTTTACAGAAAATTATTCTTAGATAATGAGACTTCAGTCTGGTCCGTTCTGAGTTTATTTCAGAATGAGCTGTTCAGGGCCGTTTTCTCACTTTAGATCCAAAGACGCTGCTGCTGGCCATGCCCCAAACTCAACGTTTACAATTGCTGCAAACAGATTTGCAATTGGTACATCTTTGAAAAGCAGATGTACGTACGTTGCCTTAGGAGATATCATGTGACTGGGGTGGCATTGAACACCTTTGGTATTAATTTAGATAGCACAAGTGGAATCCAAGGTTATAGGAAAGTAGAAGACAAAGACTGACATGATTTATGGTTAAGGTTTCCTGATAAAACAATGAACGTGACATGCACACCCCTGGAGAGCACAGCCATGTTTTTGTAGCAGTTTGTGAGTGGAACATGTCAAACAGGAAGAGCAGCAATGTAGAATCTGATAGCACGTCCACTTTTACCAGCATATGCACATTGGAATAAAATCAGTTTGTGAATAATTATTCCAAAATACTGGACTTTTAAAAACACTCAAAGTTATGAAGCGGATCTTTGTAGCTTGAGCTGTATTAGGAATGCACTTCTGCTTTAGGCTCCTCTTCTGTAAGCAGCTCTTGAATCTTAGTGATTTTCAAGTCTTGATCAAATTGTTTAAAACTCGTAAGTTGTTAATGATTTATTGCCTCTTATTAATTAATTCCCAGACTATTCTCTACTTTTGCTAGTTAGTCTACCGCAAAGACAACTTACACAATATGTAATTGCGCAACAGCTTTTGTAACTGTTTTTTTATATATATATATTATTTTAGTGTAAAAGTTGTATTAGGACTGCATGAAAAACAATTCAACTCTTCATTTCCCTCTGTCATTAAAGGAGGATCAAATGTAGGCAGAAGAGGAGCAGAAATAAAGGCATTAAATTGACAAAAAGCAGTTTACAAAAACAAAGTTCAAGGCTGAAAATCCAGAGATGTGCACTGAAGATAATGCTAAATAGGTTTAAAAGCAAACCAGGAGTAGTATCAAGCAGTGTAGAGCAGAATGAACAGATGAACCAGGAAAGGAACAGCTGTGAAAAAGAACAAACAGATTGGGAGAAGATGACTATTAGTCAAGGAAACGTAGGAATTAATTATAATTGCAACACTAAATATGTCAAGCCTTTTTAAACAATAATCCATAAAGTTCAGAAGTGATTTGAGAAGACCACATTAGCCAAAGCACAAACACCTGTAGATAGTGACAATGTGCAATGAGCTCTGAAGGAGTAATTGCTACGTAGCCTGGCACCAGTCACAGAACAAAAGAACTAGATTCAGCTAATGCGCAACTCCATTCCAGAGAAGAAACTCAATCACTCACTTTTCCGCTTCTATGAGCATTAGCTTCTTCTCTTACCTGAGCTAATATTTCAGCTTTTAACACTCTATTATTCCTGTGCAGAAATAGAAGCAAATGACTCACCAAATATGCAACTATATACGAAGGTAGCCGTAGTAAAATAAAAATAAATAAAAATTAGGCCAGTTTTTTTCCAAGGAATAACTGGGGTTTTCCTCCTCTCTGTTCTTTCATTCTTTTGTTAGTTGAGTTTATTAATTATTGATCCATTTACTTGTATTTATTTGCCAGATTTATCAAAAACATTGGAGATATGCACAAAGATGTTTGCATTCTTTACTATTAGCGACTTTCAAACAAGGTTGTTGAGCAGCTGAATAGGGAAAGGTCACGAACTTCCTCCTTCGCATTGCAACATCCACGTAAGAACAAACAGTTCTTTGCCTGAAGAGCTTTTCCGTCTTCTGATTTAATCAATGGGCACGGCTGAACTTTATTCAGATAAGCAGTTACAATAACATGTCCATTTTCAAAGTGCTCATACAGAACAGTCTTTGCTTTTACACATCCAGCACCATCAGACATATGGTGGTAGCTTTTGACCAGTCCATTGGTCAAAAGCTACCAATGGCTTTGGTAGCTTTTGACCAAAGCCATTGGTCAAAAGGGCATTAGATTAGGGCAATCTAATGCCCTAATCTAATGCATTAGGGCATTAGATTGCCCTAATGCAGGCAATCTTCAGGATCACCAGTCTTTGAGTCAATGACCTGATCAAATGAGCACATAAAGGCCTGGAAATGAAGCGGATCGCCATCAAAAGGTTAAATGTCTCTTTTGGGTAACAAAGAGAGACTTTGTTGACGAACCAACATGAAAGTTAATTTATTTTGTTTCTCCATGATGGATAACAGATTTTCACTGGTTGCTGAGTGAGCAGCTTGCTGCAGAGGCATATGTGATATTGTTCTGCTTTCAGGATGAGAAAGCCCCAGAAAAAGAGGTGCAGACGTTTTCTTTGTCACATTTAGTTGCACTGTTTTTATTTGAAGCTCTGCATTGTCATTAACTGCACTTCTCCTTTTGGAACAAAAGTATTTGCATTAAGACTTTCAACAGCATTTCCTTTTGTTTTAAAATATGATTCTATTCCATTCGATTTCCATGAAACTGAGCTTTGCACTGCAGATCCAGTTTTCAGCACTTTTACTTTTGCAGCAGTTGCAGCTATTTCTGCTTCCAGTTGAAGCTGTTCTTTCCTTTTCCTCAGTCGTTCCTCTTGTTCTTCAATAGCATGTTTTTCTTCGGGCATATTGTGACGTGTGAGCAAGGCAGCCATTTCAGCTTCTGCCCTGAGACGTGCAGATGATGTTGATGATTCTTTGGAGCTTGACCTGCTTCCTTGAACACTGTCAGATGGCAGCACATCATCATGAATGTCATTGTTTCAATTATTAGCAGATAATTGAGGTTCCATTTGCTCTTGAACCTCCACTCCTCCTCCTAACAGAGTTTCCTGTGACTCTAACATGTCAGAGGATGGCCTGCTTGAGCATTTACAGCAAATCCTGCAGAGTTAAATCAACACTATGCCGAGTCTATTTGGTCCTTATCAGAATTGGTGCTAATTTAAATCTTTCCAGAGTTATTTCAACAAGAAATTAATTTTAACATTTGAAAAAGTTATAACTACTCAAACTATTGTTGAAATAACTCTGTAAGAGTTAAATTAATGCCAATTCTGAAAGGGACCAAGTAGACTCGGCGTAGTGTTGATTTAACTCTGCAGAAGTTGTTTCAAAAAGTCACATTTCAACATCCTCAATAAACCCCTTATTATATTTAGTGATGCTTGAAAACCATGTATTTTGTTTATCTTTCTCATTAAGTGGAATTAAAGGCAGCAGAGATTCATGCGATACACACTGGCATCATCGAACAGGTGTGTCAACTCATCCAGCTGTGATTTTACTTGTGAATAATTTTTATCATCTGTCATTAGCTTTTAAAGAGATGATATTACACCTTTCATTTTCTTTACATGCTTTTCCCGCTCTCTTTGGATACTTTCAATTTTATTTGCGAGAGCTTCCTCGGTGAGAACGATCGTTCTTTTATCCGTTTCAGGTTTTCTCGACAACAGATGCAGCAGACGATGATCCCTCATTTTATCACTTATTTTAATCCAAAATAAAGGAAATCCTTAAACTTCACTGAACGCACGCAGAGTCACAGAACACAACAACTTCAGAACCAAACTGCGTTTAAAAGAGCACAGCACCAAACATTCAGGTTACATACCACTGTCGTCTTCTACTTCTCTGTCAAGCGATCCTCTTTTGCTGGTGCAGTGGCGGTGGCGTTCCAGCTGTGCGAGAAACTTCTTTGTCCATTTTTTGCTGACAAATATTAAAGGCTGTAAAACGAGGTCACTGAGCAGCTGAATAGGAGAATCATTGTTGACGCACCACCTAGTCAAAACGTAAATCCAAGCTGCAGTTAAGATGGTTTTAGTTTCATCAATATTGTCAATATCCAAGGCGGAACATCGGTGTCCAAAAGCAGAATAAAAACGGATTCGCAGGTGATCAAAGACAAAAAGTCATACAAGCTTAAAGTGGTCAGCAAAATTACTCACTCCACTCATTGAAGTCACCAGTGATCTACAAGCACCACGTGATCCACTCCTATCCACTACATTTACTTTTGTCATTCAGAAAGAAAATGAAACAAAAGCTTTTCCTTTAGCAGTTGTTGGATCAGCGACCATTCAGTTTGGAGAGTGACTCACAGTAACTTGAATTGGTACAAGTGATCAAATTTCCCATTAGTATTTCATAAAGAGATTTTATCTGCAGGACAGTATGCTGCCTAACAGAAGAGCAGCAGTGGTTTGATTGTTTGACTCCTCTCTTTTCCCGGTGAGGTGGGATGTGTGTGGTGGACACAGGTCGCCAGTCCGTCACTGGGCAATAAAGAGACACACAGGACAAGCAACCAAGCACACACACTCACACACGCCTAAGGACAATTTAGAAAAAAACAGTTACCTTAACGTTATGTCTTTGGACTGACCCGGGGAGAATCCAAGCGTTGACATTCAATGCAGAAATACATCAGGTCGGGTTTAGAACCGATGACTTTCTTGCTGCTTTTAAGTAAATGTTGCTTTTTTTTAAAGCAACATTTACAACATTTCAAATTAAATAAGACCTTTATTTTTTTTTTTATATACCGACACTTTAAAATAAAAGTCATTTTCACAAACCTAAATACGGGTTTTGAAAGCATCTACCTGCGCAGCGCACATGGATCCTCCCACTCACTCTCTCTCTCTCTCTCTCTCTCTCTCTCTCTCTCTTTCTCTCTCTCTCTCTCTCTCCTTCCCCCTCCGAGCCCCCACATTCATTCATCAGGACCAATTTTCATTCAGCCCACGCATCAAGACTGCATTCAAAAAGATGCGAGAAGCGAAGCAGAGATGTAGAGGAGCCAAACGGAGCCGGGATCCGAAAAAGAACGCGTGTTTGTGAACCGGATTGAAGGTCTGTGTGTCACTCGTGGTTTCATTTCGGTAATAGAGGGTTAGGTGGAAACATTGCGCGTGGTTTTAATCCTCTTTGAGAAGCATGATTAAGTGGTTAGATTAGAGGGGTTTGTCTCCATGATGCAGCGGAGAGAACCTTTAATCAGATGTGCACATTTGTTCGCCATAAAGTTAACAGGCTGAAGCCAAATGGTTTTATCAGTCTGGTCTTATATACTATTTTTGTTTCCTTTTATATGTCTTTTTGTATTTATGTGAACACAAAACACTTAACTCTGAACAATACTTAATACATTTCTAAAAATATATTGAACAGTACAAAAAGAAGAAGAGTTAGGGGGTACAATAAAGTTTGTAAATAAAATATAAATTGTATCTACAAATTTTTTTATTTGTACATACAAATACACATACAAATTTAGTTGAGTTTGCCAGTAATACTTCTCAAATAAAAAGATTAAATTAAAGTACAAAAATTATGAGAAAATGATAAATCTCAGCAGTGACAAAATGTTAGAATTGTAGATTTTATTGCTATTTTTAGGCTTTTTAGATGGAAAAGTATAAAAGGAGTTTTTATGGTTAATAATTAAAATAAATAAAAGGTCACCTTGTTGTTAAAGGTTTTCCAAGTAATGCAATAAAAAAGGGGAGAAGGAAATAGTTGCTGGAGGTTAAAATTTAACAGTGAATGAATTTGAAAAGGTTTCTAACAATGAAGCTTCTCTTTGAAATCTAAAAATGGGTCATCGGTAAAGAAGAGTTGAAATGTTTTGACCTATATAAAGTATTTGTAGATGTTTGGTGAAAAACATCTTGAGTAAGCAAAGGCAACAAATACTTAAACTTTCATCTATTTTGTGGCATTTATTGTGATAACAATTAAAGTTAAAAAATGTTAAGAAATTCATCACACTTTCTTTTTAGAAAAACATACATTTAGTTGTGGCTCAGTGACATATCGCATATCAATCACCAATCAAGTTTATTTATATGGCACATTTTAGCAATGAAGTTTGTAAATAAAATATAAATTCTATCTACAATTTTTACATAGAAATAGTAGTTCAAAGTGTTTCACATCATAAAAACACAAAATTACAAATATATGCAGAGGGTACAATCCTCAAAACGTCCTTTGCTTCATCGTCTTTCCCTTTGCTCTCCTGTCCACGCAGCTGCTGTTGAAAAAAAGTCTACTACGGCCACAAAACCTTTTTTTAAAAATAAAAATAAAAACAAAGCAAAACAAAAAAACTTCAAGACAAACAATTTAACATTTTGTCTCTTAAAATAAAACTCAATCTCTATCATATAGGCCCCTTCACCAGTTGGATTAGATGATCTATTTGTTGCTCTAAGCAGCCCAGTAGAATTTTATTTATTCATTTTTCAAGAATATTTATATTTAAATATATTATATTTATATTTAAATATAAATATAAATATATTTATATAAAATATAAATTTATATTTAATTATATTTATATTTAATATTTATATTTATTTTCTCAAGTATTAACAGTGGAGAAGAAAAATGTTTCAAGCAAAAACAGCAACAAACTAAACTATGTCATCAGATTAGTATCACAATTCTTATCACTATAAACTCCTTTGCAGCAATACAAGAACAAAGAAAGATTTCACATTTATTTTAAGGGGGAAGTTGTTTTGCTAAACCTCATTTCGTCTATCCAGCAGTTTAAACCTGACTCTCTAACATCTCTCATTAAGCTCATTTCGAAATCCACAGTTCTTTGAGTACAGGTTGCATGATGTGGTATGAAGTCTTAAAGAAAACTTTGTGAAACAAATTGCAAGTTGTTTCTACATGTGATAATTTACTCTGCCAGAAGGTGGTTATTTTTGTTTTCTATTCTATTTCCCCAACATAAACTGCAAGGAAGAAAGTAATTTTGCAGAACAAATGAACACATAAATTCATAAGTGGGTTACTGTTTTAACAAAGAAGCATATTGTTTTCAGGTAACGATCACATATTTGTGTCCTTTTGTTACCGTGACATAAGCTGTCAAAGTGGTTAGTCTACAGTTCTTGCTCTACTTTCAGCTTAGGTTCAAGACTTCCTGGTTTCACTTGGTATGCAGACCTGCCCCAACAGGTCCCCATTAACTCTAATCTTCCAAATTATTTCTAGCAGTTTTTTTAATGCCTAGGTGTCATTTTAAAATAAATAGAAACAATAATAATGTTAAGTGTAAACATAAGTGCTTTTATTACAGCAAATCTGAATGTGTTTCATTTTGTCATTAATTTTGATGTTAATGCTAACGGCTAATTGTGATCAAAACATGAAGAAATGATTGTTCATCTGTCCTTTGCAAGCTAAATATGAATTTAATTTAGTTTAGTTTGGTTTTTTTAATGAAAACTGATATTTTAGGAGCCCTACTCCGGTGCTCTTGCTCATCATGAATATGTCGGCCTTATCTGGAGGAACTCGACACTTCTCATTGAGGTGACGATCTTACCGTGAACAAAATTCATTTAATACTGATAGTAATAATCTCCGCCCACTTAAATTTGGGCCATTTTCTGTCGACATTTATCCACTCACTGGTCACCAATGGGTAACTGATGTCAATTTGGTTGCATAACTTATTTTATCACGCTGTTGTAAGTACGCTGAAAACAAGCTAGCTTGTCTTAAAACAGCCAGATAAATGCAACCATGGCAACCAGTGAGCAGACTCTTTCTACAGTCAAGTTGCGCGCGCATCTGCTGTGTTTACATACAAATAATTCCAGTTAGTAAATCACTGCAGTTACATCAGTTCGTAATTATACGGGACTTTGTTTTTCCACGAAGCAACGTGTTTAAATATTGTTTAATACTGGCACCAACTATAAAGAGGAAAAAGGTGCTACAAGGATTTAATTTAAAAAAAAAAAAAATATATATATATATAATGTTATCCATTTAGGGGATCAATAAAGTATTATTATTATTATTATTATTATTATTATTATTATTATTATTATTATTTACTTTCAATGTGTATTCTGTCTGTTAATAGGTTTACGTGGCATAAACCTAAAGTAGCCTATAAATCGAAACATTGTAAAATGCTTAGTTACACACATCTTTTACGTGTTTCTGCTCTTACAGTGGTGATGTGTGGATTTCAATGCTATGATGAATGGAATGTGCTTTTGAAGTAATTAAATCTCATAAACCACCAGTAAGGCTTCAACCTTGTTCAGAGCAGCATGCAACATTAAGATGTATCTTTCTTCACTTGATCCTAGCAGCTAAATTTGAAGCCTCAAGTGAAGACCCTGAGGGCTTTAACTGTAAAAACGAAAACCACTCAGGTGAAAAAGAAACTGGCAGAATCTCAAATGAAAGCAGGTCTAGCGAGAAACGGGTCGTAAAACAGTAGTTTTCACAACTGATGCCCTAAATAACTCATTTTAGAGTGACACAACCTGACAGGACCGTTTCCCATGTCCTTTCCTTGTGCGGGCAACCGAAACCTGGCACAACTGAAGGATGCTGAGTCCCAACATGTCGACTATCTTGTTATATGACCCATTTCGAGAAAGGTGATGGACAGCCTAATCCCTTATACACTTTTAGTTGTTTTTCAGGTCCAGCTGTTCTCTGCTTGCAACTTTTTACTCACTGGGAGTTTGTTTCCTGCCTAGGCTATCGGTGCTTGGCTGTGCCTGTCACTGTGACCATTTGTGCTGCAAAAAGCTGGAGTTCTCTCCCAGGCCTGACTGTGCAGCGCTCAGTACCCCATGGTGTTGGCCATTGTAGGCTAGTGACTATACCCTCTTTTGTACACAGACTCCTTTGAGAAATTGCCTTAGCACCCAAAGAACCTCTGCCTCATTTGTTTTCTATCCCCTCCCTCATTGCTCCATGTGCTTGGGGAGATGAATGAGACCAGCCTTTCTTTTCTGTGTTCACAGAAAGGATTATAAGAGTTCCTCCATCCTCCTCCTGGCATTTTCTTCACTGTGAATTTAAAGAGCTGCGATGGCCCTGGGCAGATGTTGCAGAGGTTTCAGCAGAGCTTTCTTTAGCTGCTGTCGGGAGACGCACAGGGACAATGAGAGCAAGGTGCGTATACATAAAGAATTTCAGGTCCAAACAAGCATTTAATTAATTGTCGATCAATGGTTTATCAGATTAAAATGAATTCCAAGCAATTTAGACTTTCTTAGTGTTGTAGTTTCCCACTATCCAGAAGAGGGCGCCGCTGGTCATCCTTAAAGCTGACCAGTTACATACTTTTTTAACAAAAGTATGTAACTTTTGTTAAAAATTATTTTATTTTTTTTTACATATTTGATGAAATATGGTATGAGACAGATAGTCCGAGAAAAAAATCAAGTTCCTCCGCCTTCTTTCAGTGCTCCCAGTGCTAATAAGAAACAACCAATCAGTGTCAGGTCTTATTGCTGTCAATCATCCCCCATGTGGTGCTGCTTATCCCTCCCCCGGCTTCACTGGTAGTGAATGCTCAGGCTAGTTAGTATGGCCACTGACGACAGTGGATAAACAGTTTTCCAGGTACATTAAGTTGTTTCTCTACCATTAGCACATTTAGCAATGAACATAAGATTAATTGACAGCATTAAGACCCTCCTCCTGGCTCTGATTGGTTGTTTTTGGTCGGGAGCTGTGTATTTGTTCAGACAGCAACAGTAGCTCAGGGTGAAGATTGATCTTTTCACAGATTCTCTGTTTCATCACAAACCGTCACAACATGACAGCAGTTTTAACATGTATGTAAAATAAAACATGTTTTTATAAAAGCTGCGTACTGCAGCTTTAAGTGGACTCAGTTGATATAGGAATAAAAATGGTAACGGCATACCAGAACGGAAAAGTGAAATGGTCCAGTCTGGTGTGGGATACATGATGCACTTTATGCGGTTCTGTTTTGAAATAAACACTTGATTCTCTTCTGCATGGAGCTACATTAGCATGCTATGAAAATTTGCCCTTTATGTCATGGAAAGAAGGTCGGACCTCTTCCTACAAGACAAAACTCGGGTTTTTGAGAAAATAGCTGCTTATCAATTAATTGTTAGTCGATAGAGAAGGTCAGTCAACAGTAATTCAGTAAAAAAAGAAAGAAAAAGAAATGATGAACGGATGTATTTATTATTATTATTATTATTATTATTATTATTATTATTAGCTTTCTCTACCAACCACTCAAAGTGCTTTACACGAGAGACACATTCGCCTAGTTGCATGCACAAACCGAGACTTGTTTATGCTGCAGACCAGTGGGTAACTTGGCTTTAAGTGCCTTGCCCAGGGCCACATTAAAATGTGGCACAAGAAAGAAGCTGGAATCAAAGCCACATATTCAAGATCTCAAGCAGCTACACTTCCCTTTGAGCAACAGCTGCACCACAGTCAAATTCACAGTGATATATTTCATGTTCTTGTATCTCTTGAATTTGATTATGGCTTACAGCTAATGAAAACTCTGCCATTTCAGGCTTCTTTGGCATGAATTACTGCAGGCCTGGGGCCCTGCTGGAGTGGTGAGGAAGCCCAGGTTGTTTCAACAGCAGCTTTTCTGCATTGTTAGGTCTGGTGTTTCATCTTCTTGTTGACAATACTCCATTGCTAGCTGATCAAGAACTGTGATAGTTCCAACAGGTATTGGCATCTTTGGCAGTGTGGGCAACTGCTAACTCCTACTGGAAAACAAAATCAGCATAAAGCTTGACAGAAGAGGGAAAAGTAAAGAATTTTTAGTAAAACAAGTGGATTAAAGTCAGCAGATTAAATGTCTAAGAAGGAAAAGTCCTATTGAGCATGATGGAGCTTGGATTCTGTGTCCAGGACAATGATTTCTTTAAATCTTACATTTGGACCTTTGTGCAGCAGTCGAGTCGGTTTTGTGATGTTGCCTCTGGTTCAGGAGACGTATAACTCAAAGAATGCAACAGCCAGTTTCATGGATGTGTCAGTGTGTGGTGGATCCTCAACCACTTAATTCAGCTAAAAAGTCCATATCTGATGCATCTGTCCTGAAACTCCAAACTCACATTTGGTATTTGTCTTTTTTTAACCACATTTTTTCCTTCCACCTAACTTTCCATAAATATACTTTCATATAGCACTCTGCAGTCTCATTTATTTTATTTTATTTATGGTAATATTCTAATTGTTTGCTGAACAAATTATTGGGTTTTTAATAAAAACACTACAGAAGTAAAAGCTTGAAATATAGAGAATCTGAATGGCTTTCCCCTTTTAAATTTTTAAATAAGTGAAATAAACATTTTTGTTATATTCTAATTTACTGAGTTGCACCTCTGTAAATTAACAGACTTTAACTGTTTTACTAATGTTAAGGATAACTTAAAGTATTGAGCAGAACTTTTATTCCCAGTAACCACAGATTAATAGTCTACAAAAGGCTGAAATCTTCAAAAAAAAATATTACAAATAAGTTTGTCTTCTGTTAATCACATTTTAAATTAAAAACTGTCAGTTTTGCTTGTCAGAGAGTGCTAAAACACTAATAAAGAGGTGATGAAGATGGATGACTAATGGTTCCAGTTTGCGCCAAAAAAAATTAATAAACTTACAAGTCATGACAGGTTTTGCTAGATTTACGTGGAGTACAAAGAGAAGGAGGATGACGATGTCCTATCATTTCCATTGTAAAAGTACAGGTGTGTTTACCTGAGAAAATATAAAGGGTTGTTTTAGTTGAGCTGTCATGGTAAGGAGCACAAAGTCAACAAGGAGAGAATGTTTGAAATCTTTCACCTCATTTACCTGCATGACCTGCATAATTTTTACCTAGAAACCTAACAAATAACGATCTTATCTTTCCACAGTGCTCAACCTGCTGGTGCGTAATGGTCACTGTTATGGCCTTAATTTCCGTCTGCTGGCTTTACATTTGGCTGGTCATCTTCAACGACCGAGATGATTTTAATACGTGAGTGATCACAACAGGAAACCCAGGATCCACTCTTGCTTTTTTGTTTTTAGTGGTGGCTTTTACTCTGTTACCCGAGTCCTAATCTCTTCTGTTCTATTATCAGGCTGTTATTCTCCCTTCTTCACAAGCATATGAACTATTTCATGGTGGCCATGATCATTTTTGCCCTGTTTGCCAGCTACTGCCTTCTGCTGCTGGTGAGAAGCATCATATCAAATTGAATAAAACTGGATTTCTTCAACTGTTTCTGTCTAAACTTAAACATTTTATCTTGATTGCAGCTTTTTGCACTGGTCCAAGTTGTCTTACGAGAAAATCTTGACTTACACTGGATCCACAAGGTAGAACAAACCTTCACTTGTCAACATAGAGTATCAGATTTAATCACAGGACTAACTATCACATTTTCTTTTCTGATATGCAGGCTTTGATATGTGTCGGAGTGGTGCTCATCGTTGCTATGATTGTAGTAATGACCCTTAAACAGCCAGAAGAATGGCATATTGTTCCTCTGTCACTCCAGGTACAGTGAGTGTGTGGCTTGTGAAAGTTGGGGATTCACCCGATCAGGTTTTTTTTTTCTTTGCCTTTTTTCCAATGCCTGTTGTTACTGATATTACATTAACATAAGAGAAGCAATGCGATGTTTCTTGACTCTCTAAGCACCCTTTTATCATTTTACGTTCATGAGACTTGAAAAATTGGCTCAATGATTGTTTCGTAGCTTTTTTTCACACTTTAATGTGCCATATATCCTGTAAAATTTGACAGAAAAATCAGTTCGACAGGGATATAAACACTCTACAATCACCTAGTTGCATAAATATGCACAACCCTAAACTAAAACTTTATTGAAGGTTGATTCATTTCCAGCATACAGTCTTCTTTGATAGAAATCAATCAGACTTATCTGATGTGCGGTTAGTTGTAGTAGTTTTATGTCTTCAGATGAACACAAAGCTGCAGACACTAGCATCTTTTCTCTGTTGTTATATGAGTTCCTGATAAATCAGCTGTACCATATTTCAGGGCTTGCAGATAAAACTTGAGAAGAAGCAAATTTTCTGCTTTATAAACTTAATGCTACAAACAAAGCAGGAAGTTCAGCAGCCAACAGTTTTTCATTTTGAAAGACTGTAAATTACTGTAATTTGTGCATACTGTTTTTAAAATGCAAATATGTTTGAGTATGGCTGGCAAATGCAAATCGACTTCACACTTCAGTTTGCAGTTTTTTTCTCCAAAAAGCCAAAAGGGCATGTATAATGTCTGTCTCACTGAATTTTAAAGCCTACCTTTATTATAGTCATTTACATTTTCCGTTTCTCACTAAATTATTGAAATAGTTTTTATTGCCAAGCACAATGTAGAGGTTTAACTCCAGACTCCAAGCTGGCCCTCTTATATTTTTGTTCTCTCTTTGCAGTACACGGCTCCTTTCTTACAATTCGGTGCTGTTGGAGCCTTGACCCTGCTGAGCTGGTTGGTCTTCCGGACCTTCAACCAGGTCCAGGAAAGTGAGTTTCACATCCGTCAGTAATCAAACACATGATTCATCTGCACCATTGCATAGACTGATTTCATGAGACATAAATTCAGTTGCAGGATTAGTCATTAAATAATTTGTAATAGCTATGAATCATGAAATGACTACTCATGTGAAGGAATGTGAGGACATTATGCAACATTTAGAGCCAGATAAGCTTAAAATGAATTTCAGATCTGCTTTGTAATTACACATTCATTTTGAACTTGTAGTTCAAAATGAATGTAAAGGAAAAGGAAATTAATTTTCTTTAACAGCAACACTCAAATCTTTTACAGCTTCTCCCGTTCTTTAAAAAATGAAGGACAAATGTGGGTGTTTACTTTTAAAGGAATAATACGTTTCATTTCAAAATACATTTCAGTTTGTTTTACTACTTAATCCATATGTACAGTCATTAAAAAAAATTATGACACCAATTTGGTATTCTTTGCTTATCCTCACTTGTTATTGTTACATTTCTTTGTTTTTACCAGAATGAGAAAGAAAGTTGGACACCTGTTTTTTTTCTAGTACATTAGTAAACAAACTGAATAGTCAAACCCTTTTCAGTTATGACAAACAACACAGGAATGGCTGCTTGTGTCAGTTAGAAATACAATAGTAAAAAAAACAGAAATCTCTGTCACAGTTTCATTCTGATGCTGAGCCAAAAGTGACAGCAGGGAGCCAAGGTAAACATGAGGCATTGAGCAACATAGGACAGTACCTCCTTTAACCTGTAACATGAGATTTTAAATAGTGTTTTGATTTTTTATTTTTTTTTGACAATTTGTCAAAAAACATGACATTTTACATTGTGTCATGAAGATTAACTGCTGAACAAACAGCTACCACTTTATACATGCTTAGCAGGTTTTCCAGTGAACAACCTCTCCGTGTCAAACGAAGCTTGTCTTCAGGAGGAGATGAATAAATTGCTATAAAATTATTTGGAAAACCTTCGACTGCAGTTTGAGATCTGAAGAGCTTGACTCTAAAAAGACGCTAAAACTTTTAGCAAGCTTTGTGAACTTCTGTGTTTTTTCTCTAAAATTCAGAATGATTGGTTGGCTTAAACTCATCTATATTTTAGAAACGGGTTTTGTTTGGACATTTAATTTAACAAGCAAGTAGCTTTTGAAAAAAGATTGTGAATACATTTACAGACATGGTAAAAACAAAAAAAAACCTCTATGAATTATAATGATTTACATTTAAATAATCAGGCTTCTAAGTTTTTCAGTCTAAGTCCATTAAAAGTGCCAACTCTGCATTAAATTATCATAATTTACAAAATCATGCAAAGTTGCCACTTTTAATGGACCTTTAATGCAACTTTTAGAGCAACTTTGCATTAAAAGTGTCATTATTTTCTGAATGACACTTCATGACAACTGTCATAGACATTCATAAAGACGTCTTTATGTTCATGGCAGGTGTTATGTCATGTTTATGACAGTGTCATGTCAGTCTTATGCACACCTGTTCAAATAAAGTGTTACCAAAACATTTTCTGGATTCTAAGTTTGTTCTAATTCCTTTTCTGGGTTAAAAGTGAGTACTTCACAGTTTCTAAGAGGAAAGGACACTTTAGGGCAAATGGCAACANTCAGACAAAACAATGGGCAAAACAAAGACATGAGTGAAGGCGGTGACGTCACAGGGCCATGAAACCAGGTGGCTGAGGCTCCTGACATAGTCAGATAGAGGTGTTGTTTATCGACAGCTCCATAGCTC